TACCATGACATTCATGGTGCCATCATCAGTGTATATCACCTTACTTCTTTTAGACTGCTCTTCCTAGTGAGATGTTGCACAAATAGCTTCTTTTCACTACTTCTTTGATCCATACCCCCAAAGCGAATATATATATATATATGAATGTCAATCCATAGAATAGTGTTTATGAGTGGTTATTCTTGTTGAAGAACCAGGTAATGTTCAAGAATTATCACTCAGTTGGCCATTTCTCTTGGTCAGTGATTTCCTGACAAGTTTTTTCAATCATTGAATACCTGTTTTTCTCATTGCTTTTACTTAAAATTCTCGTCTGGGGCACAGGCAATAAGTGGAGAAAAATGTAGAACATTTCTCCCCACCCTGTGGTCATTTATAAGGGACTTTGAGGTTAAAAGCTTAAATAGCTAGTGTTAATCATTAAACCTGCCCTATGGACAACGTTGGTCTTTTTTTTTTTGCACATATTTAGCTGGGGCACAAACAAGTTAGGTGAGTTACAGTCCAACCTTAATCAGTTACCTGCAGGGTGGCTTCAGGCTGGGCTCTCACCAGATAATGCAGCCACCTTGTCTCAGCAGAGAGGAACAAGATCATTTCTCCCTTGAGCCACAAGGCAGGAACAAAAAAGGTATTGTCTGATTCAGAGCTATCTTTGCTGTGTTTTCTAGATATTGCTTCTAAGGCTCAAGTTGTGGTGAACAAAAGGAAATGGGAGAGCTCTGTAACAATCTCAAAGTCTTGTGTTTCAAGGTCTCAGTGGAGATGGAAATAAGTGGGAAGGAAAGAGAAAGAGGAGGGAATGAGAACAGGGAGGAAAGGTGAGAGAAAATGTAACCCATTGCATACAACCTTTCTCTGTGCTTGGGAATGTTATGTTTAAAAGAAATTAAAAAAGTAGACGGAGTTCATCCTGGGGAAGACTTAGTGGATTATTAATACTAAGACAAATTTGACAATTGTTCACTCTAATGCACTATTCTAGAGGAGAAAGTGTGAGTCTGAACTGATTTTTAAGGAAACCAATGTGTACATATGTAAGTATTTCTACTGTTCTAATCTTAGCATTAGGTGCTGTGAGGAAATGTCAAAATTGCACAGCCAAATTGCAGATAGACTCCCTGGGCTGAGTGTATTCTAGTGGGTGTAACTAGCAAATCGAATCCTGGGACTTTTGGGCTAAGTAGCAAAGACACCTCTATGCAGCACATGCATTTCTCAAACTCCAAGTGTTCTTGTGAATTTTTCTATTTGACTGTACAATTTGAACATATCATTCTGTTAAATATAAAATCACTACAAGTCAGACCTGGGCATCATGATTTGGGTAGAAAAAGATTGAGTTCATTAAAGAAGTTTCAGCATTTTGTTCCTTTGTTTCTTTCCTCCCTTTATTCCTCTGTGGGAATAAGAAAATTTCCCTCCAATTTCCATTAGATAACATCTTCTCATCTCGTAGCCATCCTTAACATTTACTTTACTAGGCCTTTTACTTTTTTGTGTGAACCAGAAGTTTAACACTATGCTCCAGAAAAAGGCAAAAACAAAGGAGGAAAATCCAACAAAACCCAAAAACAAATCTTGGAAACACCAAAATGCTGATAAACTCATTTCTCTCCATAAAAGATCTAGAGTTTATTACTATTTTTTATTCAGCATTTGCTCAACAATGAGTTCATGAAAGAGTTGCTATTGTTGTTGTTAGGTGTCTTCGAGTTGACTAGGACCTATAGTGACTTTATGAACAATAGAGTTGAACCTTGCCCTATCCTCTCAGTTCCCATCATGCTCAACCTCTGGTGGTAGTCCCTGTGTCACTCTCGCCTTGAGGATCTTTTTCTTTTCCGCTCACGCTCTACCCTGTCCAGAATAATATCTCTCTGAGGACTGATTCCTCCTGAGTAAGTGGGAAGAAATGTCATCATCCTTGCCTTTAAGAAGTACTGTGTTAATTATAAAATAGGCAAAAGACCAGGAAAGGATTTCCACAGAGGAAGATATTTGAATGGTCAACAGACACATGATGAAATGCTCCAAATCACTGACACTTAGAGAAATGCAAATCAAAACAATAAGATACCATCTCGCACCAGTAGCAGTGGCGAAGTTTGTCAGAAAGCAAGTAATAAATGTTGGAGTGGATGTGGCAAGATGGTACAATTCTGGAAGGTGGTTTGGCGCTTCCTAAAAAAGCTGAACATAGAAATTCCATATGACCCAGCTATTCCACTACTTGTAACATACCCTGAGAAAATGAGAACTGAGGCACAAACTGAGACTTGTACACCAATGTTCATAGCAGCATTATTCATTATCACAAGAACATGGAAACAGCCCAAATGTCCAACCACAAACAAATGGATTGAGAAATTATGGTAGATTCACATGATGGAATCCTGTGCAGCACACAGAAACAACGGTTTTGTAAATGACTACCTAATTTGGGAGGGACCAGAGAGCACTATGCTAAGTGAATTCAGTACCCTAAGGACAAATACTGTATAAGACATTATTGTAGAACAAGTATGAGGATCCAACCCTTGTAGGGTGGGAACAGAGGGGTGAGGATGAGTAGAGGTGGAGTGGGGTGAAGGCTGTTGATCATAGGTTGCACAATTTGATAGGAGGAGGGAAGGGTGGGTAAAGGAAATGGGAAAGATCCAGTATGAAAAACAATGTATATGAACTCTGTAAGTAAACCAGTAATAAATAAAAACTTTATTATTTTTTTAAAAGGAAGTACTGTGTTTATACTTCCTTAAAGACAGATTTAGCTGCTCTTTCCAGCAGTCTGTGGTATATTCAATACTCTTCATCAACACCACAATTCAAAGGCATTGATTGTTCTTTTGCCATGCTTATTTCATTGTTCAACTTTCAGATGCAAAGGAAGCCATTTGAAATACCATGGCCTGAATCAGGTGTATCCTAGTCTTTAAACTGATAGCCTTGCTCTTTAGACTTTTGGAGAGGGTTTGACAACAGATTACCCCAATGAGGCATGCTTTCTGATTTCTTGACTGCTGATGCTGTGAGTGTTGAAAGTGAAATCACTGTTAAGTGCAATCTTTTCTCCATCTATTACTTTTCTCATCTGTCATCTACCAGTCCTATGTCAGTGTCTCATACTATAGTGCCTTGAATGTTGATGTGATGTTGGAAGCTGTGACTCTGGCATTTCAAATACTAGCAGGGTCACCTATGGTAGACAGGATTCAGCAGAGTTTCCAGACTAAGACTGACAAAGATGTAGGACTGGCCATCCACTTCTGCAGTGACAGGCCTTTGAAAACCTTATGGACAATGGAAGAGCACTGTTGTATGTGGTCCTCGAAGATGAACCTCTCGGGTTGGAAGATGCTGAGAATGAGAGTGGAGAAGAGCTGTCTCCTTAAAGTTGAGTCTACTGTAATGACATGGGTGGAGGAAAGCTTTTACCCAGTGAAGGACCTTCAATTGCTAATGTGGCAAGACTCAAAATGTAAGCCTCCAGTAATAATTGGACAATGGAATATCATGAAAGAGAGTACTATTACTTATCCAGCCACACACTCCTTAGAGGCAAGGATAATGAGACTTTGTCTCACACATGTTGGGCGTATCATCAGAAAAGATTTCTTGTCATCCTTTGAAAAGCCAGTGAAAGAAAACAAGACCTTGAATGAGATGAATCAACACAGTAACTGTAATAATGGGCTTAATCACAGCAGTGTTTGTGAGGATGATATAGACTTGGAGGCTCTTAACAGCAACAGCAACTCTGCTTAAACATACATAAAAGAAGCAACATGTGTAGGTCTCTTGTTGTTGTTGTTGTTATGTGTCATCGAGTCGCTTGCGACTCATAGCGACCCTATGTACAACAGCCCTAAGCTCTGCTCTGTCCTGGGCCAATCGCACTGTCTCTGACACTCCCATCCCGATTATCCCAGTCACTGAATCAATCCACCTCATAGAGGGCCTTCCTCTCCTGCGCTGTCCCTCCACCCTCCCAAGCATGATGTCCTTCTCCAAGGACCGGTCTCTCCTCACAACATGTCCAAAGTATGTTAGACGGAGCCTCAGAATCCTTGCCTCCAAGGAGCCACCCGGTCCAACCCTTTCCAGGACAAATCTGTTTGTTTTCCTAGCAGCCCATGGTATTCTCAATACTCTTCTCCAGCACCACAGCTCAAAGGCATCAATTTTCTTTCTATCCTCCTTGGTCATTGTCCAACTCTCTGATGCATGACAAGTGATTGTGAAGACTATGGCCTGTATCAGATGCACCTTAGTCTCCAGAGAGACACCGTTGCTCTTCAGTACGTAGGTCTCTTAGGCTGCATTTTTTTAATAGGAAACCAGTAGAGTGTGTGTGTGTATCCACACACATATGCATGAGTGGAGAGAAAGAGAATTTCAAAGAAATGCCTTACACAGCAGTGGGTCAGATATGAGGCTGGAAGCTTCTCCTGACTCACCTGGTTGCAGAGACGGGCAAACTCCAAATCATGAGGTCAGTTCTCCGTTGACTTATGAAGCTATGAGAGCGGATGATTCCCCAGATCTGAACTGGAGTTCAGATGAGAAGTTGGATGCAAGATAAAAAGTGAAAAAGCTGTACTAGAATAACCATAAGTATTGGATGCAGGTCAACCCTCCATGGAAACTCCCTTTACAGCAGAACACAAATTTGAGTCTAATCCTTAACAGTCGTGGCCAGTTGAGTTGATACATAAAAGTAACTATCACAGTAAGATAGCGTGAGGATTTTACATAATATTGTTAGATGATTCTTCTCTCTAGAGCTTTTGAAACTCTAAGGCTATATTTGAATTACCTCTCTAATTTGCCCAGTTTCAATACAGAAAAAAAAATTAGTATGTAAACAAAACCTCATGATATCAGTTTTAAATTTTAAGTTTTATTTTTTTATAGAGCATAAAAGCTATGCTGCTCCAGTAAAAACTGAAAATGTTCTTAATGTCTGAGCAACCTAAGGAACTGTTTAAGAAGGCAAGATGACTATCTGGCTAATCTCTTTGATGAGTATTGAAGGACTACTTTTGACAGGTGAGTAATATTTATATTGAAGAGATTATAGAGAAAAACACAGTAACTCATTCACTGTCCTGTCAATGGCGACTCATTATCGACCCCACTGGATAGAGTAGAAAAGATCCATATAGTGTTTCGAAGGATGAGATCTTTACAAAAGCTGAGTGGACACACAAAAGTAACGATCACAGTTGTATTTCCATATTTATCTCCTAAGGAGCAACTGGTGATATGAACTGTTGACTTTTTTGTTAGCATCAAAGTGCTTAACTATTGAACCAAAGAAGTTCTTAAAAGCATGATAAAGTATGTATAGAACTAGCTTACTGATAGTTAAAATTATGTGGAGTGGATGTTGAAATGTTTGCTCCTTGGTTTCCTTTTTTGTTTAGTAATATTGCCTTTGTTTAACAGTTGAGGTTGTATATTATAACAAAGAGTTAAAAATACTTGAATTTTTAGTGACCCATGAAGGTTGCTGTCTAAGTCTACAGGTTGTTTTTTTTTTAAGTCTATAGGTTTTAACAATAGCTTATTATATTCATTTTTTCTTTTATATTGTAACTTGAATGTCACAAAGCAAATTAATTTCTTGTTCAACCACTCATACACATTTTTGTTTTGTGACATTTTGTGACATTAATTTCTATGTTGTTGTTTGTTGTTGTTATGTGCCGTCAAGTTGCTTGCGACTCATAGCAACCCGATGTACAACAGTCCTAAACTGAATCTATTCTGTGCCAATCGCACTGCCTCTGACACACACATTCAGATTACCCCAGTCACTGAATCAATCCACCTCATAGAGGGTCTTTCCATCTTGCGCCGCTCCTCCACCCTCCCAAGCATGATGTCCCTCTCCAAGGATCTGTCCCTCCTTACAACATGTCCAAAGTATGTCAGACGAAACCCCAGAATCCTTACCTCCAAGGAGCAGCCTGGTTTAACCCTCTCTAGGATGAACCTGTTTGTTTTCTTAGCAGTCCATGGTACATTCAATACTCTTCTCCAGTACCACAGCTCCATTATTTTCTATATACACAGTAAAATTCTACTTTCCCCAGTAATCCTCCCAGTAATTCTGCTTTCCATAAATCCTTCTGTACTACTCCATGTCTTTCCTTTCTTTAGTAATAATGTGCTGATCATCCCCTTATTATATAATTCTTTCTCCTTCATTTCTCTTTCCTTTCCATCCCATCCCTGGACCTAGCCAAGACTGACTCTGTGTGTAAACCTTTCTTTAGCTTTTTATAGTAGGAGTTTTATATAAGGTGTGTCCTTTCGTGACTAATGAATTTCACTGTGCATAATGTCCTCTGAGGGAGTTCTGGTGGAAAGAAGCTCTGCTGCAATTCCAAAGTAGCACAGTTCAAATTCATCAGCTGCTCTGCCAGTGAAGGATGAGAAATCTCCTCCAGTGCCATTTACTGCCTCTGAAAACCCACTGGAGGGTCAGCTATGGGTCAGTTCTGAGTTGATGTACATACAACAACAACAACACAATGTCCTCTAGATTCATCTATGTCATACAACGCCTCATTTTTTTTCACTGTTGCATACTACTCTAATGTATACATAGACCATAGTTTCTTTATGCATTTATCAATTGATGGACACATGAGTTGTTTCTCTCTTTGCTACTGTAAATAAAGATGGCTATGAACATGGGTATACATGGGTGTACTCTTCATGTTGCATCTCTTGTTTCTTTAGGACATGTACCTAGTAGTGATATTGCTAGATCAAATAGTATTTCTTTTTCCAGCTTTCTAAGGAAGTGCCAAATTTCTTTCTATAGTGGTTGCATTATATTATTTTTTCACCAGCAGTGTATAATAATTCCAATCTCTCCATAACCTCATCAGTATTACTATCATAGTGAACTGTGCTGTGGTTGCAGATTACATTCATTGTTATAATTCATTTTTTAATTATATGGTGAAATTACTTTTAGAGTTTATCACTTTGTTTCCTCAAATGGAGTGGCTTATCTTAGTAATTGATGAATGTTTTGCGTGAAGTCTTTTCTTACATCATGTTCACAATTGTTTTTTTAATGTAATTACTCTATATTTTTTATGTTATTTGCATATAGATTTCTTTAGTTGGAAATACCCATTATGCTATTTAGAGGTAGGCCTGAACTGGTCTGACCAGATCTCATTGTGTAACTGTGAATAATTTCCTACACTTTTCAGGTGTCCAGTGCACGAATGGTACACAGGAGCCCTGAACTGGCCTCTGTTACGGTGTCCTAGATTATTCATTAATACTTCAGATAGAGACATTGAAAAACATTCCATAGATAATATTTTGTCTATGAACTCTGCAAGGAGATGACTGATTATTTTTTTCCTCTCACTTTCTTTTTTTTGTTTTTTTTTTATTAAATTTTATTAATTTTAATGAACATTTTCTCTCACTTTCTTAAATTGGTTTCACCTTGGTCCACATGGTTGCACATCCAGGAACATCTTTAAACATGGAAGGACTGATTAAAGTCATGCTTAGCCGATTCCCTTTGGGAATATAAAGTTAATAAGATGTAAAAAAAAATACTTATGAAGTTAATAAGATCTAAAAAGAACAGCAAAAGAATTTTAAAAATAAAAGTAATAAGCTTGCAACAATGAATGGATGGAAATCCAAAATCTCTGTAAATGTTCATTAACATTATTAAAATAAAATATAAAAAAGGTCTCTAATTAGGAAGGAAAAGGACTGTCTGTAATAATAAGGTCAAACTATCAGCACCTAAGACCTGTTGTTAATATTAGTGAGAAGATACTTCAGTTCTATTGTGGGTATAATTATATCATCTAAATAAATACAATGACATCCTAAAAAAAAAAAAAGTAATAAGCTATTGTTAAAAGTAACTACATATAGAAACTTCTTTGAACTAGGGAGCTAGTAAGGAGTGTGCTGCCAAGCCAAAAATAGGTGGTACAGATCCACCAATGAGCAACTCCTTGGGGAAAAAGATGGGCAATCTCCTCACATAGGATTTACAGTCTCTGAAGACCTGCTGGAGGGTCACCTAAGAGTCAGTTTCAACTTAATGGCAGTATTGAACAGGGCAGCCCTGATGCCTAACTCCATAAATAGTTGTGTTGTTAGCCTAAAGATAGCTGGTTTGAATACATGAGCAGTTGCATGGGAGAAAGACAGGCAAACTCCTTCCATACAATTTACAAACCCAGTTAGCTGTCAGTGAGTTCTGACTTGACAACAAAGAGTTTTAAGTTTATGATTCCAACCTACATTGTTACACGAGGCACATAACTCATTTTGGTTAAGGACATTTCGGCAATAACTCATGCTGAAGGCCCTCTCTGAGAATGTAAGGCAAGGGTAGAAGATGAAAATTAGATTCCCAGGAAGAGGGTAGGGAGTAGTTGAATAAAAACTATATCAACTGGGGTATTATAATAGTCCTGTTTATGTTGTACCGAGGAGGAGAAACTAGAAGATAGTATGACAAGCAGGAGAATGAATGTAGAGATAGCTTCTAGAAGACTTTTCTCCTCTCTGTTGTATTGTTGTGTACCATCAAGTCAGAATCAAGCCATTGCTGGCTCTCCAGCTGGTTTTCAGAGGCTGGAAATTGCACAGGAGGAGTTTGCCTGTATTTCTCCTGCAAAGTAGCTGGTGGCTTCGAACCATGTGTCTTCAGGATTGCAGCCCAGCTTCTTGTCACTAGGCCACCTCTCTAGGAAACAGAAATATAAGGGGGGAAAAAAGTGATTTTGCACATGGCCTTCTGAATAAAGAGCAGGAAAGAGAGGAATGAGGGGAAGCCGTTTAGTTAGGAACCAAATACATTTTCAAGCTCTCTGCAAGTGAAGTAGAAATTCAAGATTGTCCTGGTGAAAATGGAATTTTTGGGGAGCTTTGGTAGCCCAGTGGTAAGAGTGTGTACTGCCATCCCAAAGGCATGCAGTTCAAATCCACCAGCTGCTCTGCAGAAGAAGGATGGGCTATCTCCTCTTCTGTGAATAACAGCTATAGGTTGGTTCTGACTCCACAGTTCACAACAACAAAAAGATCAGATTAGGCAGGTTTTCCCTGAAAATTAGAGTTTTAACTATCACCTGGGAATTTCTTAGAAATGCAAAATTTAGGCCCACTCACCTTAGACCAGCCTGTGTATTAACAAGACCTTCTGGTGATACTGATTTATACTAAAATGTGCTTTGAAACAATGGTGAATCTGGTGGGTTGAATTGACCTTCAAAAATCAGTGCTTTTCTATTTCTTCCTAGTTCCTGGTCTGAGTTTACATATTAAGCCTGAAGAAGGTAGCCTTGCAGGAGGAACGTGGATCACAGTCATTTTTGATGGTAGGTTTGGGTCTTATTAAATCTAAGTTTCTTATTTATGGAATCAGAACCCCAAAAGTATCATTGATCCTTGTCTAAGGACAATAAGAAGACAAACTGAGAATATGTGACACTTGGCTGTCCTGAGTTTGAGAGGTGGAGGGAGAAGGTTCAACCCAACTAAACTTTGCAGATACTTAGTTTTAATGGCACAGAAGCAAAGGAAACCACACTACCATGCTCGTTTCTTTAAATACAATGAGCTAAGGCTTGTATTTAGGACACTGTAATGTGTTGGCAGCAACAGTCAGGAAATCAGGAGAAACATTGCATTGGGCAAGTCTGCTGTCATGGACATCTCCAAACTACTAAGGAGCAATTGTTGCAGACCAAGTGTAAAGTAAAAAAAAAGAGAGAGAGAGAGAGAGAGACAGAACATCAAAAATGCAATAAAACAGAGAGCATAAAAGACACGGGACCAGCACTTTGAATCAACTGAAGCTCCGCAAGCCACACCTCTCTGTGTATTTGTTGAGAATCAGGGGAAGCAAATCATAAAGAATCTTGTAAATGAAGCCGAGTTTTTATCTATTTTCATCCTAATGCTTAGCTCAGGAAGGAAGTATTTCACACGTATTAATACTCCCTCTGCAGGAGGACCCTAGCTGACTCTTGTCTGGAGGAAGCAGCTCATTTTTCTCTGATCTGTCACAAGAGAAATTCCAACTTACATTTTGTGATTCCTTCAATTTCTGACTAAACATATGGTTTATCATATATTATTTGGTATGAAATTTGGCTTCCCACAAGCAGTGATGTCAGTTTGAAGACTAAGGTGCACCTGCTTTAAGCCATGGTCTTCTAAATCACCTGCTTTACATCAGAGAGATGGATAGTGACTAAGGATGACAGAATTGATGGTTTGAGTTGTGATGATGGAGAAAAGTATTAAATATCCCATGGACTGCCAAAGCAACAAACAGATGAATCCTGGAAAAGATGTGACCAGAGTGCTTCTTGGAGGCAAGGATGATGAAGCTTCATCTTTCATATTTTGGACATGTGCCTAGGTGAGGCTATTCCATAGAAAAGGACATAATGCTTGAAAAGATAAAGGGTCAGCACAGGAGAGGAAGACCCCCAATGAGAGAGAATGCCATGGCGACTTCAGCCTTGGGCTCTAGTGTGTCAGAGATGGTGAAGATAGTGCAAGATAGGACAGGGTTCAGGTCCACTGTTCATAGGGTCTATATGAGTCATACGCAACTTGACGGTACCTAACAACAACAACAACAACAACAACAATGTGCCTTGGTTATGCTTGTCATAAATAGTTCTATACTTAGAGGCTTCTAAGCCATCAATTAGCATACCCATCCCTGCCATAGCAAAAAAGTACTTTTAAAAGTTAAAAAAAATTAAAAACCAAACTTTGTTGGATTTATGTGGATTTATTACTTTCTGATGAGAGAAAATGCTTTTCTACAGCACCTACAAGTGGAACTGAGGAGAATCCAATTAATCTTCAGAGGCACCCAGTGTCTTACATCGCTCTGTGTGGTATATTTTTATGTCATTTTTGTGTGAATTGTTCCTCTGCTCAACTTGAGATTTGCCCTTTCCTGTGGGTTTAGGTTTGGACTTGGATCTTCTGTACCCCAATAATGGCTCTCAGCTGGAGATAAACCTGGTGAATGTGGCGGTGTCTACCCTGCCAACCATTCCCTGTGATGTCTCTCCTCCCTTCTTGGATTTGCCTGTGGTGATGTGTCAGACCAGGTATGCCTGTCCACGAAGAAGATAGACCAGAGAGCAGGAGTGTTTCCTGTATACCTCAGTAGTTCTTCCTGATAAATTAAAGCAATTTCTTCTGTGATTGCAATTATCAGCTGTAGTTTTTATTAATATGTTCCATGTGACTATACTTCTTAAATGGTCCATGCCAGGGCTATGCGACTCTAGGGAGGATGAGAATATAAAGAACAATTCTGCTTTATTAATAAAAATGGACTGAACTGTGTTTGTATTTTCTCATGGTAAGGAACTCTAGGATTTCACTAAATGATGCCACTTTGCAATCTAAAGAACTCATGCTTTGAAAAAGACATAACAGTAAAGATTGTATATAAAAGTAAAACCTACCAGAAAGCAGGAATGGCATCCACTTCCTAAACAACAAGCTTCCAGAAACTCTATGAACTTTGATAAATGTCATAAGTTGTAGAAAGGCTTCAGGCCTTTTTCATAGGGTCGCTATGAGTCAGTTGTGCTTGACTTGAAGGCTATCAACAACAAAAACAACCAGAAAGGAGATTTAAAAAAAAAATCTTTAGCATGTTGCTGTGTTTGACTATTATCTCTTTTAGTAAATATTGTGTAGGATTCCAGATAATTGTCTTGCTCAACTTTCTGTTGGTTTGTCTAGTTCCCATGAGTTCATTTTTCTTTATTCATATTTTAGAGATGTTACATGAAGTGGATTATAAACAGGAAAACTTATAATTTCTTTTGATTTTTGTTTCCTGTGCTAAGGAAGTCTCTCCCTGGTCATGCCTGCCCTTTGAAATCCTAGTCAATCATACTGCAAAGACAACTTATTCCCTGAGCATCTGAATGGCATTTCTCCCTTCTTAGGAAGGTGGACAGGAGCTGAAATTCATTCTGTGACTACATCAATTTTCTGTAATTCATGCATAAGATGCATTCTTGTATGTTTGTGCATGTGAATAATCTTTGTATTAAAGCTCTTCTGATTTTGAATTTATGCACAAAATTTCTCACCATCTGTTTTTTCTGAAATAATCATTCAAATCTATGGTGATTAGTGGATCTAGTAAAAGAAAAGTGAAATACAGTTATCTTGGATGCCTTTAGAAAGGAGCTCTGGCACAATGGTTAAAAGCCCAATTATAACAAAAAGGTCAGAGGTTTGAATCCACTTGGCCCTTCTTGATAGAAATCCAGAGCAGCCTGCTTCTATAAGGAATCACAGACTTAGAAATCCTATGGGGAACTTCAACTGTTCTACACGCTTGCTATGAACTTGAAGCAATTCAACTCTGCTTCATTAGCTCAAAGAGAATATTTGAAGTGGAAAAGTGGGGTTGTTCAAAACTCAAAAGGGAGCTCTGGGGGCCTAGAGGGTAAGAAGTTGCACTGTCAACCTAAAGGATGTGAATCAGAACCAATTCAATTCTGTTTCATGAGCCCAGAGAGGAAACTTGAAGTGGTCAATGATGTTGTTAGCTTGGGGAATTCATGGATTTCGCTTCATGAAGATTTCCACTTTCTGTTCTCAGACCTCTGTTACCTGATGCTCGTGAGGGATTGTACTACCTGGATGTGCACTCTGGGGGGCACGCAGTAAGAAGCCTGCAAACGGGACCATTCAGCAGCTGCACTTTCAAGGTAGGTTCTGTGGATGGAGGAAAATGAAAGTATGCTTGTGCTGCTGATAAGAACAAGTGTCCAAAGTCAGGTAGAGAGAGTCTGCTTAAATGGTGAGAAGGAAGGTGGATGGTAGCTGCTGCCTCCTTTGGACTCTCTTAATGAAGGTGAAGCATCGAGCATTTGTAGATTAGGCTCTAGATACGGGTTTTATGTGTACTGTCTCATTTAATACCCACAACCTTTTTATGAGGTAGCTAATATTAACTTTCTTTTACTAATGAATAATCTGAAGCTGAGGGAGAGGAAATAATTTGCCAGTGATGTCCAGACAGCAATTGCTACAATCTGGATTTGAACCTTGCATCTGCCTCTACTTTCCTCGACTAAACTGGAGCCCATAGAGAAGTCACAGAGATTACCATTGCAGCTCAATGTTTTGTTTTACAGCTGAGAGTATTCTGAGTTTCAAGATGGTGAAGGGACTCAGGGTTACAACATTTTCATGAAGGGATCTAACTTTGACCTTGTAGTTACATGGTTTGACTATAGTCACCACACTTGACTGAGGAAGTGCATTTTGATGGAACTTCTTTCAAACTTAGAACAAGTATGGAAAGAGAAAGAGAGAGTGAGAGGGAAAGAATTAGTTCGCTTATAAGGTCAACACATGATTTATTTTAGATTCTGGTTTTAGATTTTAGACTCTAGAGTATTTTAGATATATCATTGCACTGTCTAGTTGGCTCCAACACATAGCAAGCCTCTAGAAAACATATCAAAAAACATAGCCTTCAGAAAACAAACCACACACGATGGGACCCTAAGCCATCCTCAGAACCTGATATGTGTATGCCCATACAGTCACTACGCCAATTTATACTGGTGCCCTAGTGGCAAGAAGTTGCACTACAATCCCAAAGGCATCCAGTTTGGAGCCACCAGCTGCTCCACAGGAGAACGGTGGGCTATCCCTTGCTATTAACTGCCTCTGAAAACCCACCAGAGGGTCAGCTATGGGTCATTTCCGACTCTAAAGTACACAACAAAAACAACAACAACAATTCTATGTTTGGTTCAGTTTACCATCCATTTCAGATTAATTTCATATGAAAATGATTACCAAAGAAGTAGGTTCTTTAGGGAGAGAATTGGCAATTTTTACCACTTATTTGGCATATAGACAATCACCTTTTGTGTGATTTACAGCCTCAGAAACTCAAAAATGGAGGGTCATCTTTGAATTGGTCCAACTCTGTGGCAGTCTGGCCTTATAAAAACAGACTGAAGAAATAATAGTAATAATGAAAGGCCTAATGATGTCCTTCTGAAAAGCAGGCAAAGAAATCCTTTTAGATTACCCATCCAGCTGTGGGTTGGTGTGCGGTGACTGACACTCCAACTCATCGGCAGCTAGTGACAACACCAACATGTATAGAGAATCTCAGCTTAAGAACTGTTTTGAAGGGGGAGCTCTGGTGGCCTAG